TCCTTTGTGGGTGTGCTCCTGGAAATACCTGAATCTTTTCCTTGTGATGGTATAAATGTTCTGAGGACTGAATGTAATTTCGATGTTTGTAGGAACAGCAAAACTATTGGCATCTCCACATGCATATATACATAAAACAATATGTTCCTTGTTCAAATCTATTGCATAGGACAAAGGTAGAACCTGAACCTGGGAAAGAAATGTCAGGAGTGGACTTGAAACTTCAGCTGGCTGCAGGGAGGACAGTCACTAATCAGGATTCAGGATACTGGAGTTCTGCTTATTCGGATATACTGAGACAGCCCTGTAAGCCTCTGTTTCACATGTGGATTGTGTGACCCACCAAGGTCCCTCAGATGCCTTGCTCAAATCTGAACCATGGAGAAAACTGGCAGCATGTGATTTCAGAGAAGGAAGGTGGATGAGCAGCTAGCAGGTCAAAGAGAGCACCAGCTTTGCGTTTGTGGCACCTTAGTGAAAAACAGGTAACTGAAAATTGAGTCAAGCAGAGTTATCCAAACAGGGAAAGCTACAGATTCATCTAGAATGTTCCCTTTGCTTCTGTCTCAGTCTGAAGCCCCCTCCCACACACACACACACACACATATCCAGGATTTGAGCATCCAGATGAGCAACATACAAAGGCATTGATCTCATGAGCAATCACTACTGTAATCACTTTCGGCATCATCTCTGAATTTTATATTGTCTGCTTCCAACCAATTGCCCCTCACCCCTATGCCTCAGGATGAGAAGTCTGAGATTCCCTGGCTGCAATTTGAAAACATCAGAAGCCTTTCAAAAAAATAAATAAATAAATAAAAACAGTGGACTAAGACCCTGTCTCAAAACACACACACACACACACACACACACACACACATACACACACACTGATGTTCTGGCCCTGATCCATGGAATTGGCCTGGGGTGGAGCCTGGGCCTTGAAGGATTTTAAAAGCTCTCCCAAACATTTCTTCTGTGCGGCCAGAACCAAGACCACTGCTGGAGTTCCTGCTGGACTCAGGTAGAAGAAGTGAATTTTTATGAACTGTGCTCTGGGGGAGAGGTGATTGCTGACCCCATCGAACACAGCTAGGGCCCAAAGCTGACATGATGAGGACAATTTGTTTCTGATATGTCTTTTTCTTAGGGCCCAGCCCTCCTGTTGCTGACCCAGTAAAAGCATCCTGGCCACAGTGTAAATGATATATAATAGCTTAATGTACTGCCTTAATGTGCCACTGGCATGGACGTTTGGGGTTTAATACAAAGGAATTCCTGATTGAAAGACTCACAGGCTTTATGGCAAGGCCCACGGGAGAGGCCATTTAAAATGGTCCCAAACCTGATGCATCCCTCCTTCAGTCCCCATCTCAGTAAATGGCAACCCTGCTCTTTCTATGGACTTCTCTCTTTCGCCCTCCCCATATCAAACCCATCAATGTATGAGCTTGGTTCAGTCTCCAAAATATGTCCAGATTGTACTCACCTTGATCATTTTAATTCCCATCATCCTACCCCATGCCAGCATTACATTTTAAGTGTCTCACTGCTATCACAAATACTGCATTTAGCCACACCTAATCTGGTCTTACCATTAACCTGCACGCCATTTTCTTCATAGCAGCCAAAGGCATGCACATACGTCTCTTTAAAACTCACCAGTGGAATGAAACTCAGAGATAGCGCCATGACTTACAAGGCCCTACATGACTCAGCTTTCAGCTGTCTCTCTGAGCATATCTCCTCTGGTCCCCATTCCAGCACTGTATTCCAGTTACAGAGATTCCTACCCATCTCAATCCTATGCCTGCCTCAGGACCTTTACCATTATTTTTGCTCAGCAGTCTCTCTCTCTCTCTCTCTCTCTCTCTCTCTCTCTCTCTCTCTCTCTCTCTCCCTCTTTCTCTCTCTCCAGATAGCCTCATAATATCTCTACCTTGTTTCCTTTGCATCTCTGATAAATGTCACTTCCCAGATAGGTCTTCCCTTACCACAGTATGTATAATACACCCTCTTCCCCTAGAACATGTTTCTGTATGTGTACCTGTGTGTTTGTATCCAATACAAATGTCTCCAAAGGAATTGAAACCAATGTCTTGTGGAAATAATCATACCCATGTTCCCTGTGGAATTGTTCACAATCTTCAAGATACGGAGTCAATCTTCGTTTCCATACACAGAGGAGTAAGCAAAGAAGTTGTGAGATATATATATATCAGAATGTTATTCTAATTCTAAAGGAAGGAAAGTGTCCAAAGGCCCTGGATTCAGGCTTTCAGCATTGCAAAGAGAATCAAAAGTGAATTCTGACATTAGTCACATGGAAGAACCTGCAGGACATTGTGTTACATTAAATATGCCAGGCAAGAACAACAAAGATCTCATGATCTTATTGATATATGAAATCCAAAAACAGTAGAGTTAAAGACCAGAGTAAAACAGTGGTTACCAAGAGCTGGGAGCAAGAGAGTATGAGGAGATGTTTGCTGTTCAGAGCACAAAGTGACAGGTAGAATACGTTGTTTTATATCTACTGAAAAGTTAATAATAATGCAATTGCAGGTTTCAAAACTGCTAAAATAATGATCCTACCATGGCCATCCTCAACGTTCTCTTGTATAGTCCTTTATGCCCTGTTTTATTTTTTTTCTTACAGTAGTCACCCTTATCTGTCAAGGATATTTCAAGATTCCCAAGTGGATTCCTGTAACATGCATAGCACTGTATAAATATACCATATATATATATACATATATATATATATGTGTGTGTGTGTGTGTGTGTTTGTGTGTGTGTGTGTGTGTACATATATGTGTGTGTATGTGTAGTGTAGTGGGTGTGTATATATATGCTTTTCATATAAAGAAAGAATAAAGTTTTATTTATAAATTAGGTATAGTAAGAGATTAACAACAATAGCATTATGAAGTAAAACAATTAAGAGACAAGTGTGAGACGGGCTTTGGTGGCACACACCCTTAATTCCAGCACATGGAAGGCAGAGGCAGGCAGATCTCTGTGAGTTCAAGGCCAACCTGGTCTACAGAGCAAGTTCCAGGACAGGCTCCAAAGCAATACAGAGAAACCCTGTCGAGAGAGAGAGAAAGAGAGAGAGAGAGAGAACAGTTATAACAATTTACTATAATAAAAGTTATTAAAATGTGTTTATTGTTTGCTTCTGGAATTTTCCATGTTATATTTTTGAAGTGAGGTTAATATCAGTCCCTGAAATCACAGGTGAAACTGAAAGCTGGGCATGATGACACATGCCTATAATCCCAGAATTTGGATAGTGGAGTTAGGAGGACAAGAAGTTCAAGATCCATGGCTACATAGTGAGTTCAAAGGCTGTCTGGGTTACATGGTACCCTGAATCAAAAGAAAAAGAAAAAAAGAAAAAAACATAAAATTACAGGAAGAACTACTATAGCTATGTGCTACATAAAAAGTATTTATTAACCAGATATTGTGCTACCCATTTGCAATCCTAGCACTTGGGAGGCAAAGACAACACTATTACAAATTCAAAGTCAGCCTGGAATATATAGTGAAACTCTACCTTGAAAAAAAAGTTTTTTAATTGTCTCTTTGTCCCTGATGGAATAGACACATTATAAGGCAATAAGGCCATGGAATTTGGTCAGTCTTACTTACTCCTGTATCCCTTATCACCTAGAACATAGCCAGGAAAATAATAGTTGCCTTTAAATTAATCAGATGAATAAATAAGTACCCCTAAAGTCATGAGAATGCCCTTCAGCCTGACTCTTGCATTTCCTGGTTGCTAGGCTGCCTGCAGCTCAGCAGAAGACTAGAATCTTAACAACACTTCCCTTGGTCCCCACAGGGGATTGGGTTCAGGACGGCCCCATAGATACCTAAGTCCAGGGATGCTCAATTCCTTTATATATGTATATAATGCCATAGTATTTTCATGGAACCTACCCACACCATCTGATATACTTCAAATCATCTCTAGACGACTTCAGATTCTGAATACACAGCAAATGCTATGTAAATAGTTGTTCTCTGGGTTGTTTGGGAAATGAAGGCAAGAAAAATGTCTGTATGTGTTCAGTACAGAGGATTTGGTGGTGGTGGTGGTTCATGTATTTTTAATATGTGCTTGGTTGAGATGCAAGGATGCAAAGCTGTGGGTAACAAGGGCTGACTGTAGTTTACAGTGTTTGCTAATCATGCTTCCTGCTGAATTTTGGGAAAGTATTCAAGAATAAGAGAGCCTGACTGATTCTTTGGACATTTCATGCAGAACTGAGTAAACAAAGTGATGCATCGTTCAGAAGCAGAAAGCCAGGGGCACTGAGCTAAATCGCTCGTATCTCTCTTCCTGAATAGTTCAGAAAGTGTGGGTGAGTCATTTTGGAGGGCTGGGTTTCTTCTCTCTCAGATCTCAAAAATATTTTGTTATAAGTCTCCTTTCTAAGGGTGTATCTGTGAGATGAATAAGATTATTTCTGTAAATCCTCTGAGAAGTGTGTGTTCACACACAATAAAGTCTGCCATTTAAGTCAATCTCATATTAAGAAAACTGAATATGCAAAAATTCAATGTATATGATTACTGAAGAATTTTTCTTGCAAACCTCCTTAGGCTTAGAGCATTCGTAATGGGATTCAGTTTATCAAAATTCAATTCATGCCCAGTTTTTGCACAACACACCAATCATACAGGGAGACAATTAGCACATCACCTTAAAACACATTACCTTGCACTTAATAAGTAATCAATAATTACAAAACCCTATTGACTCATAGATCAGTAAAGCAAAATATCTCTGTACTTGAACACTTTATTTTTGAGAGAGTGTCTCACAATGGCAGTCCAGGCTGGTCTCAAACTCATGATCTGTAGGCTCAGCCTCCTGAGTTCTTGGGATGGCAGGTATGTACAACCACACTCGGTTGTATTAAGACATCTTAACTCCAATATTACAAAGGAATGGAGATGTCACCATCCCTTTGTTCTTTTTCCAGTCCCCCAAATCTGCTTTCATCAGTGCTGCAAAGAAGGCCAAGCTGAGGTCCAATCCTGTGAAGGTCCGATTTTCTGAGCAGGTGGCAGTTGGAGAAACAGATGCAGTAAGTACAGCCTTGGCTTCCCTCCTCTATCCTTGGCCAGAATCAACCTGGCTATTGAGATCTCAATCAGGGCCCTTCTGGCAGTGGATGCCTTTATGATGGAGTTGGAGCAGAAGGATCCTGGTGCTCTGAATGAGTGGATACTGAGGAGAGAGGAGTGTGCGGCATCCAGAGAGGACTGAGAGGGAGTGAAAACAACATATTGATTCACTCCAGATCTTCATGGTGCTTAGAGAAATTTCTGTCCATAGCACAATAGCGTACACTCAGGGCAAGTGTTCCATAAACATCTTTTGGCTGCTTGATCGAAGCAGGGAGGAAGTGATGGTTTTGTGAAGACCCAGAGAACAAGTGGCTGGTGAAATTGAACTCTCTTCACATTTAAGTGGTCCTGCAATTCCACATCTTGACTGGGGAAGACTGTGCTCACAGGTAGCCGCCTACCAGAAATGATACACTCTGCTTAAGTCACTAGTTTTTCCCCAGAAGGGATCCAGCTCCCTGCCACTAGCTACCTTTTCGGGGGCTGGGGGAGAAAGTGGTATAGACTAAGATTCTAGCAAATTGCCTGCTGTGTAGTATCCTCTTAAAGAGCAGTTAAGGTTGGCCAGCCCATGTCATGCAGCTGCCAATTTAAGGATTCATGGCCAGGCCACTGGTTTCCTGCTGTTTTGTGGCATTTGCATGCAGTGAACCACCTATCCTAGATGTGCCTATGAAAAAAAAGGTAGGTGGAGAGCAGAAGTCAGTGGGTACAGCAGTCATGACTTCTGTCCCAGAATCCCCGAGAAATCTGCACAAGTTGGTGATGCTCCAGTGGGAGTAGCGATAGCTGGAGCTACCAAGTGCTTTTGCAGGCAGTGGTGGGATGAGCTGTCAGGAAGCCTGATCATGTATGTACTAAGACACAGCTGAAGTTGTTGAGAGACATAATAGCAGTCCCAGAGTGAGCATACAAATCAGTAGGATGTCAGGCATTTTTGTAATTCTCAGAAGCAGAGGCACCGAGAACAAAGAAGACGGGACACAAGTGTCGTCCATCTTCTATTCCCCCTGCCTCTCTTCCATAAACCTAGCCCACACCTTTCTGTATCCCTGTGTGAGGAAGAGTGGAAAACCCCAAAGGGAAACCAGAAGACTGTCTAGGTAACACTCAGGATCCATGCCAATCCCAAGAGAACGGCTTAAAGAGATGTGAGGCTTGGTGATCAATGAAGAGAGGGCACAGGACTGAGCCCTGTGGCTCAGAGTGAAATGATTGCAAGGTCCAAGTTACTAATAAGACATTGGTGTCCTGAACTGTTGAAAATTCTGAGGGTGGGCTGGAGAGATGGCTTAGTGGTTAAGAGCACTGGCTACTCTTCCAGAGGACCCGGGTTCAATTCCCAGCATTCATATGGCAGCTCATAAATGCTTGTAACTCCCATTTCAGAGGATCTGACACCTTCACAGAGACATGCATGTAGGCAAAAAGATGAATGTGCATGAAATAAAAATAATGAATTAAAAAAAGAAAATTCTGAGGGCATAAGTTTGCAAAATATAGACACATGTATCCTATCCCACCTCAAAACGACAGTCAAGGCCAGGACACTCAGTGAAGAATTCCTGCTCTCCTCTACATTTTCTTACTTCATCTCCCTTCCATTCTCCAAGTTACCTACCTCGCTAGGCCACAGGCAGAATGAAGAGCCACCTCCAATTCAACCATAATAGCAACTGCCCCAGGGCAGCTGGAACCTATCCAGAGTTTACTCCTCTCTCATACAGGCCCCAATCCTGGCTTAAGACACTTTGTCTAGGAGAGAAAACAGCCCCATCTTCCAATCCTCATGCTTGCTGCCTGTGTGCACCATATCGGTCTATTGAGACCTGGGGAGTCCAAGTCCAGGTGACTCCAGGCTGCCCCATAATTCCCTTTCCCTTGTGTTCCGGGGCTTTATTAAGCAGCAAGAACAAAAATAAATCCTGTGGGCGTTCCTTGCCAACTCTATTTTTAAGCAAAATCAATTAAGTAATTATCTGAGTCCAAACCAGACCGCTAAATAAACCTTGCCACTACTGAGCGTCATCAGCCTAGGGAGCTGGGCCTCTGGGCCTGGCAGGAGTGAGCCATCTCAGGAGCAGAAAGGCCTAGACATCATCATCACACTTTTCCAAATTGATATCCATCCATGCCTTTCCTCTGTGGTTTGACCCCACCCAAACTTGCCTCCTGGCTCCTCTCCACCACTGCCTGCCACACCCAAGCTCAGGAGGATTTGCTTATTTAGTCCTTTGTCCACAACAGCTGCTGGATCTGAGCTTTTCTTCTCAGGCTTCCCTGATAATCTATACCAACTATCTCATTCAAAACTCAGAACCCAGTCACCCCTACATATTAGCCTCACCTGACTTACACCAGTTTGTTTGTTTGAGGTTCATAATGATCAGACATGATAAAGGATGACAGCAAAAATGCAAGTTAGATTCTCCCTCTGCCCCTCTCTTTGCTCTTTGATACAGGGTCTCACTATACAGTTCTGGCTGTCCAGAACTCCCTATGTAGACCAGGCTGACTTCCAACTCATGGAGATTTACCAGCCTGTACCTCTCAATTGCTTGGATTAAAGATGTGTGCCGCCATCTCAGGACCTCTACTGTTTCTATAGTTCCCTGGGATCTCAACAGGAGATGAGTATGCAATAGATGCTCTGTGGTTGCCACTTAGTTAAGAAATCTGGCCATCTATAGACTACAAGTACCCATAGTATGGATGCTGCTAGCCCAGGAAATGTGTGCATCCTCCTTGTGAATCTAAGCATTCAAGTAAGCACATAGTAAGCACCTATTGTCCATGCATTTAGCAGTCACTTATTCAACACCAACTGTGTGCCAGGTATGCTATTCATTGCTGGCACCACAAAGATGTGCTCTAAGTTTACTGTTGGTTGTAAATGACAAATGTTCTTTAAATATTGCTGGAAGCTAGGTTTGGTGATACAAGTCTGTAGTCCTAGTACTCAGAGGGGGGGAAAGAAGGACAAAAGGAACCAGCTAGGCTCCATAGCCAGTTAGCCTGAGCTGTATAACAAGGCCCTATCTCAAAAGTAAATAAATGAATGATTGTTGTGCATGATAAAAGTAGCAAATACTTACAATCTTAATACTTTGGAGTTAGAAAAAAGAGAGTTGAGAGCTTAAGGTCAGCTTGTACAACATAGGAGGACCCTGTCACCAAAAAGTGTGTGTGTCACTGAAAAAAAGAGTATGTAAGTTGCTATAGGAAAACATGGGAAGATTGGATCCCATGATATTGGACCAAGGCTTTACAAAATACTCATTTGAGCTCGATTTTGAAGGCTGAATGGGAGCTTGCCAGGGAGAGGAAGAGGAAGTCAGAGAAACACCCATTATTAAATTGAATTTTGGTTAATTGAGAATTTCACATTTACCATTTATAAATGAAGCCCAGTACCTGGAAAACTGCTGCTAAGGAGTTATCGGGTGTGCAGAAATGGACTCTGCCAGTGGTTCTGAATTAGGATCAGTGGAGCCCACTTTCAAAGAGTTTAGGTGAATGTTTGAGAGTGGGTTTGGTTATCCCAATGATTGTGTGTGTGTGTGTGTGTGTGTGTGTGTGTGTGTGTGTGTGTGTGTGTGCTAAGAGCACTTAGTGTCTCATAGGGAGAGACGCTGAGTCTGAAGGGAGTAAGGTGGCCCTGGAAAGATAAATTCAGAGACATGGAGGCATTAAAGAAATGAGGCTTCTAGCAATGGTAAGACATGAATCCAGAGAGATAGACAGGATCCAGTGGAAAAAAACAAAAACAAAAAACAAAAACCTAAAGAACAAGGCACAGTGGCACCCACCTTTAGTCCCAGAACTTTGGAAGCAGAGGCAGGTGGATCTCTGTGCTTTCTGGCCAGCCTGGTCTACAGAGCAAGTTATGGACTAGCTGGGGCTACATGGTAAGAACCTGCCTCTAAAAGGCAAAGAAAAAGAAAAGGGCCTAATTAAGATAACAGAGTGTCTCAGCAGTAAAGTGCTTGCCTAACATGGGCAAGGCTCTGTGCACCATCCCACACACCAGAGAATGGCAGAATAAAGGCAAAGATTGGCTTGTGAAGGGCCTGGTGGGAAAAGAAGCATCTGGATAAACTGGGGTGTGTGAGGTGGTCCAAAGAAGACTCCTCATGAGCTGTTCATGCTGTGTATGGTGGTCTCTACTGATCCAGTGCTGTGTAACGCTACAGAGCTTCAAACTGCAATAGAACACAAATGAGGAGTGGACTTTGGAAATGGCTCAACGTCTTGGGAAATTTTCTTCTGGTCTGCGTGCAACATTATTATTGATCTTGTCTTTTCTCTGTCTTTGTTCTCACACACCTTCGGCTCCCTACCTCTCTCCCCTTCTTTCCCTTTCTTTCTACAAACCCCTCTGCCTTCCTCCCTTCCCTGTGTGTCCATAGAAAATGATGAAGAAGGAAGCACTCCTCCTCATCCCCAATGTCCTGAAGGTTTTCCTAGAAAATGGACAGATCAAGTCATTCACATTTGATGGCCGGACCACTGTTAAGGTACATAAGGAGTCCCCCCACCTGGGGTAGCTATTTGTTTGTGTTCCTCTGAGTTGCACACAGTGGCTTCACCGCTGGAACATGATTGCCTTTGATCTGTGCTCTGGGGTATGAGGCTGCAAAAACCTATAATCCCCGGATGAGGCTGGTAGTGGAAAATTGCATGCCCAGCTGTGTGCTAATTATTGTAAAAATGTGCATGTGTGTGTGTGTGTGTGTGTGCACGCACACACACGCATGAATGCACATCTGCTTGTCAAATACATTGTGATCATGCTACACTAAGTCCTTCAGGATTCTTAGGGGCTAAGCAATGCGAAGATCATTAAGCCATTTATAAAGCCAAAGTGATTTATATTGATACAATAACACCTACACAAGTTTACACACAGAAATAAACAAATGTGATCTCTTGAGAGGTTAGCTTAGCCATATCTTGCTTTTTAAATAACAACCAAATCTTAGATACTGAAGCAAGATTTGAGAAGTCTAGCCACAGGAAGAGCAATTAGTGAGCTGTGATTCTTAACAGCTTAGCCAGGCATCAAAAAGTCCCAGTGCTTCTCTTAGTCCTGAAGATTAGAGTTGGTGATACAATTCACCCTGAGATTCACTCTGCAGTGGGACAGAAATCTCTATCCCCAATTCTTCTGGAGTCTCGCCAGAAGGAGAATGGCATCCCAGGAATGAATGTTCTTATGCAACCAGTGCTGTCCAGGTTGCTGGGAAGTTGTGACACCTGCCCAGGAGGCCTACCTTGCCCACACCTGTCCTGTGGTTTCCGTGCAAGGGCCAAGATGACTGTATAAATAAAGAATTACGGGCCTGTAAACCTAGTATCCAGGAGGCTAAATCCAGAGAATTACAGGTTCAAGGCCTGCCTGTGCTATAAGGGGAAGCCATTTGGGAAGGAAATAAAGGAGAGAAGAAGGGACACCCTCACCCACAAAAGCCTTGTTCAGAGGAGTGATCCAGTGTTCAGAATGGCATTCCTGGTGTTTTTCTACTGGCGTTTACAGCTTGTTCCCGTATTGGTTTGAGGAATGTGTAAGAGTGTTTTGGGGCCATCCCATGATATGTCATGCTATTGCCATTTAGTATCTCAAGGCTAAGCATACTTCAGGAAACAGAACAGTCCCTGAAAAGCTTAGGCCTAGGTAGGTATCTCTAAAGAGCTCAAGACCCAAGTGTACTCCTTAGAAAGCTATGGCATGGTCTTGCCTATGGAGAGTCTTGGACCAAGATCAGAGATGTTGAGACAGAAAGAAGTAGGCCACCCAGGTGACAGAATCTTCCTTGGTGTTTCTTTATCGGTTAATATACTCATTGTAGATTTGTCAATACCCTAGAGCACTGACCAAACCTTATTACTCTTAGAATCTCAGAGTCCTCCCTAACTCACATTGCCACCATTGTGGCATCCAGGCAGTGCCAATCTTTGACACTACACTTCAGGAAAGATGCATGGCTAGCCATTAGAACTTGGACAGGCTTCCAAGCCACTTGTGGCAAAGAGGTACCTACATGAATCTGGCATGATGGCACCTACATCTAGTACCAGTTGACAATCACTGGCTTGGCTGTCCACAATCTCAATGTAACTTTACTGTAAAGAAAACCGCATCTATCTATGTCAGGGTTCTGGTAATACTCAAGCCTCTGTGACTATGTACATAGCCCAAAAAAAATCCTCTCAAAATATCCAGCTCTCTGTTCAAATGACCGAGCATCTCACACACAGGGGATACTTTGGAAGTCCTGTCTGTCAGGGAGTTCTGGTCTTCCGAGCCTGCTTCCCTCCAGCCTTTGGGGGTTGAGACATGCTAACACTGTAAACGTACACAACACACTGCAGTGTGTATGCTGAAGCCACAGCACATAGATGGCAGATGCCTCAAAACTGACATGTGGCCAGCCCCCACCAATATGCTCTCAGATGCCCTAGTATTAAAAGTAGGGCAGCAGAGCAGACGGAGCCCAAAAGTAGTCAGATCTATGACTGTACTCCAGACACATGGCATTGTTCCTCTTTGTGGACATATCTTCAAGTTGCTAAATTGATTGTCTCTAAAAGCTAGCTATAGCCAAAAAGGAACATTTTGCCAGTAACTCAAGTCATTTGATTTAGATTATGACTCTGGAAATAGTATACATTTTAATCACAGAAACATAGCTTTGGCTTGTGCTCATTCCTAAGAGTTGACAGACAAACCCAAATGGACATTCTGACTTAAGAGAGGTGAGAGAACCAACACAATGCCTGGACTCCATAAGCATTCTGAAAGCATTTATCTAATAGAGGAAGAGGGAGAGTAGGAAGAGAGGGATGAAGCAATGGAGGGAGGGGGAAACATCCATGTAACATATGTCTGACCAGAGAAAATCCAGGGATTCCTACATCCATCTCCTGAACCTTTGGTGTTCCCCAGGGCCCAGGCCACTGGGCAGCACTCATGAGGCCCTTAACTGGTCCCAGAACTCAATGTCTGGACTACCACAAACCCTTTTCCACATGACTGCGGTGCTTGATTTCCAATATTTCCTCATGTTTTCATTACCCTAAGTAACTTAGAGTCAGAAGTGGTGCCCCCTCTTCAAGGCTCTTTTTTTTCTACAGGATGTGATGGTAACTTTACAGGACCGTCTCTCCCTGAGGTACATTGAGCATTTTGCTCTTGTCCTTGAGTATACTGGGCCAGAACAGAATCACAAGTTCCTGATTCTCCAGGACAAGCAGCCACTGGCTTATGTAAGTCACCCCTTTTTCCTGGCTTTGTCACTGCATGTAACCAGTGCTAGAAAAGAGCTTCCAAGACACAGCTTAACTAGAAAATTCATCATGATATAGTCAACTAGCTCCCAGAAGTCAGTTTCAAATGAGGTGGAGTGTGTGTATGTACATATGTCTGTATGTATGTATAGTCTATATGTGTATTGTGTATGTATATGTGTGTTTATGTGTATGTATGTGGGTGTATATGTGTATGTATATGTGTTCCTCGGCCTCCCAAGTACTAGGATTATAGGCATGAGCTACTGCATAGACCTCATTCTTATAAAGACCGGGTCCTTAAAACGTGATTAAAAAACACTAGTCACAGCCAGGCATGTTGGCACACGTCTTTAATCCTAGAACTCAGGAAACAGAGGAAGGGAGATCTCTATGAGTTCAAGACCAGCCTGTCTACATAGCAAATTGCAGGCCAACCAGGTCTACAAAGTGAGTACTTGTCTCAAAAATGGAAAGATTCATTGATAAATTAACAATATAAAAATAGGGTAATTATAAAACTATACTATATTGTACTATAGTAAAAGTTATGAATTGTTTGTTTCTTGAATTTTGGACTGAGGTTGTTCATGGGTAACTGAAAGCAGGGAAAGTAAAACCTAGGATAAGAGAGGAATACTCAATATGAATTTGCCAGGTATGAAACAAGAGTGGGAAACAACAGCGTAGCTCATCCCTAAGCCTACTTTAAGAAGCCGCAAAGCCACCTGCCCACTCACAGTCATTGATTCTATGGTTTTTTCTCCACCCTCTCTCCATGGGGTTTCAGGTGGTACAGCGGACACACTATCATGGAATGAAATGCCTCTTCCGAATAAGCTTCTTTCCCAAAGACCCCGTGGAGCTGCTGCGTCGGGATCCTGCTGCTTTTGAGTACCTATACATTCAGGTAGAGTCTTGGCTTGGGGACACGAAGATAGACCAGTGAACAAATAAGCAGGCAGGCTGTCCTACCATCACAATGAAGTTACTATGTAAGTTTAACCTTTAGCTTGTTCTGAAGGCCCTTTCCTTTCTTGCTACTATTGTAGTCCATCATCAAGTTGGCTGGTCTGGTGACTTGCATTTGACTGTCAAAGTACTGTCTACTTGTCTACCCAGAGCCCAACATTTTTCAGAAAAAAAGCTCATCCCAGGAACTCTGGTACTTTCACAGAATCCCGAGATTTACCAAGCTCTTTTGGGTTCCATGAACTCTCAACTCCCAATCTAGGTCCAGTAAGAGAAGTCCTAGCTAGATCCTGACAATCAGAGGGGCAGAAAGGATAGACTTCACACACTAGAGTTCATAAATTCATAAATATAAATATGACCACAACAGGGCACAATGTCAGGGAGCAGTCTGCCAGGCCTCCATGAGAGAAAGAATAAAGGCTTCTCAGTGGAAAAGATATGTACATACTCTTAGCTGTAAAGAATGAGTGGATGTTTGCTGCGTAGTAAGATGGAAAAGAGGGGTCGAATTCCAAACAAGAGCCCTTGCATTTTTCAAAGGCATGCTGACAAGAAAAAAACACAAGTGATTTATTGCAGCTTCAGTACAGGATGTAATGTAAGAAGAAATAGAAAATGAAATTGGAGAGCTGGGAACCAGAGAGTGAATGCTTGGTAGGCCATGGAGAGCAGACTTTATTCAGGAAGCTGTGCAGTGCTTCTCAGAATGTGGGCCCTGAACCAACAGCATCATCAACTGGAAGCTTGTTAGAGATGCAAATTCTTGGGTCTTATCCCAATGATTTGTTTTAACAAGCTCAATGAGATTAAAACAAAACAAAACAAAACAGGGTCTCATTTATCTCAGGCTGACCCCAAATGAACTACATATGTATCTTAAGGATAACTTTGAGCCTCCAATACTGCCACCACCTTCCAGGTGCTGGGCTTACAGGCAGGTATCACCACATTCAGTTCTCCATGAGAGTTTAATTCCCAGTCCCCCCAGCCCCATGCCAAAGCTTTTGAGACAAAGGAACCACTTTAGAACAGTGGTTCCTTAACTCTACCTAAATGTCAGAATTATCTGGGAGGGGGCTGGAAACAAGGGTCAGCAGTTAAGAGCATAGGCTGCTCTTCAAGAATACCTGAGTTCAATTCCTAGTACACACATAGGTTCACAACCATCTGTAACTCCAGTTCCAGAAGATCCAAGGCCTAGGCACGTTTATGGTATGCAGACAATTATGCAGGCAAACACACACACACACACACACATGCATAAAATAATTTTTAAAATGAATTATCTAGAAGGCTTTTTAAAAATTATCTAGGAAAAAAATATATTCTGCCCTACCCCAAATCTGGGAGTGGAGCCCAAACATTAGTTTTTTGTTTTGTTTTGTTTTTCAATTAACTTTATTCTAAAGAGCAGTCAAGGTAAAGAAATCATGTTGATGAGTGGGTAAGAGTTCTAAAAGGAGAGTCACTTGGCTATTATTCCAAAGAAAAAGTGATGTCCAAAATCAGGGTTGTGAATGACAGGGTATTTGGGGTGGGGTCCGAGGGAGACATAAAGTCTTTGATTTGCTGAGTGTTGGTAGAGATGGTATCAGTACTCGAATCAGCAAATAAAAGCAGTACCACAAGCTTGGAGACTGGAGAAGTTCATTTTAGGCCATGGGTTTCAGATGCCCATACCACATATGCAACACTTGATGAGAAAAAAAAAAAAAAACAAAACTTATCTGTCTCCAAGGATGTCGCCTGGGACTGCAATGAGAGACATCATAGTTGTCCTTTGTGCCCTTTCTGACAACCAAAAATGTTAGGAACATTTCTCAGCCTCTAGTTCCTTTGGCAAACCTCTAGAGGGACAATGGGTTGTATGGTTTAGTCTAGTTCTCATTTTGTTTGTTTTTCACTCAGACTTCTGGGATTGCCTTGGTTCTTATTTTGGAATTTGATGACAAGATTGTTCTCAGCATATTTCTCCACTTTGTGATAATAGGGACTTCATCTGGATTTTTCCTTTAAAAAAAATCAGTTTTTTGTTTTTTGCTTTTTGTGCCAATTAGACCTCAGGTTTTGTGTTTTGTTTTGTTTTGTTTTTTTTTAACTGAGGTCTAATTGGCGCATAACAAACTGCACATGTTCAAAGTGAACACTACGATAAATTGTCACCAACAGTCATCACCATAATCAAAATATTGAACATATCCAATATTCACTGACATTTCCTCAGGCTCCTTTGTAGTTCATCCCCCAGGCAACCTCTGACTGGCTTTCTATTACTATAGATTTGTTTTCATTTCCAAGAGTTTATGTAAATTAAACCATACAATATGTATACTTATTTGAACTGGCTTATTTTCCTCTTTTGGGGGGAAGGAGGGGTTTAGTTTGGTTTGGTTTTTCAAGACAGGGTTTCTCTGTGTAGCCCTGGCTGTCCTAGAGTTCACTTTGTAGACCAAGGTTGCCTTCAACTCACAGAGATCCTCTTGCCTCTGACTCCCAAGTGCTGAGATAATAGGCATGTATTCTTGTTGGGTAGTATTCATGGTACCAGAATTTGTTAACTGTGTTGATGGACATTTGGGGTAATTCCAGATCTGTGCAATTATGAATTAAACATTTATGAGTATTCATGTCCAAGTCTTTGCATAGATGTGTGCTTTCTTTGCTCTTAGGTAAATAGTTCATAAAAGAATGGTTTGATTAGTTTTCTAACATAAATTCTAATACTATTTTCCAAAGTGGTTATTACCATCTAACATTCCTATCCATCACATATTACAGTTCTAGCTTTCCAGTCTTGTCAATTCTTGTATTAGTCAGCCCTTTTTTGTTTGTTTGTTTGTTGTTTATTTTTCACTCTAGTCATTCTAATATTGCATAGCAGTATCTCTTTAAGGTCTCCATCTGAATTTTCCTAGTAACTAATGATGTTGGATAATTTTTCATGTGTTCACTGTTGTGCGTCTTCTGTGATGAAATGTCTGTCCAAATCATTTGCCTGCCTTTTTATTGGGTTATTTGTTTTCTTATTATCAAGTTTTGAGAGTTCTTTCTGTATTCTGGAAACAAGTCATTTGTTGGAGATGTTATTTGCAATTATTTCCTCCCAGTCTGTGTCTGGCCCTTTTGGTCTCTAAACAGTGTCTTTCACAGAGCAGATGTTTGAATTTTGATGAAGTTCAATTTGTTAATCTTTTCTTTTACAGATAGTATTTCTGGTATCAAACCTGGGAGAGATATAGATATAGATACATACATACATACATACATATATACATATAGCCAGTGTGTTCATGCATGTATGTGTGTGTATATATATATATATACATATATATATATATAGCCAGTGTGTTCATGCATGTGTGTATATATGTTGACATATATATATATAGAAACACAGTTGTTGAGGCCCCACTCATTGAAACTCTCATCCTTTCTTCACTGAATTGCCTTCATGCTTTTATTAAAAATCAGTCTATTTAGACAATAAAACATCTAGATCTAGTGTGAAAGCAGTTGCCTGTGTATTTGTAGATCTATTTCTGAACCTCTATTCTATTCTATTCTATTCTATTGATCTACCAGTCTATCCCTATGCCAACCATACATTCTATTGACAACTAGAGCTTTATAAGTCTTATAATCAAATAGTGTTTGTCCTCAACTTTGTTCCTCTTTTGAAAATAAAATTTATTCTAGGTCCTCTGTATTTTTCATGGGAATTATAGATTCAGGCTGTCAATTTCTACTAAAATTCCTACTGTGACTTGGATTGTAATTGTGCAGAATCTGTAGACTGGTTAAGGGAGAATTGATATGTTAACAATATTGAGTCTTCCAGTGCATGAACAAAAGTATTTTTACACTGACTGAGTTCTTTAATTTTCCTCAGTAGTGTTTTATAAGTTTTTGATGTATGATTTTTTCATATATTTTGTAAGAATTGTCCCTAATTATTTCTTATTTTGATGCCATAATAATTTTTTTATTGTTGCTGCTGCTGCTGTTTTTGAGACATAGTCTAATGCTATAAATCAGGCCGAGTCTAATGCTATAAATCAGGCCGGTATGGAACTGTGTAGCCCAGGCTAGTATTGAACTAGTCAGCCATCTTCCTACCTCAGTCTCCCAAATTCTGTGATTATAGGCATGAGCCACCATACTCAACAGTGAATTAGATTTGTAATTCAATTTCCAATTGTTTGTTAGTAGCATATAGAAATACATCATTTTTGTTGTTATTTTTCAAGACAGAGTTTCTCTGTAGCCCTGGCTGTCCTGGAACTAGCACTGTAGACAAGGCTGGTCTAGACATCACAGAGATCTGCCTGCCTCTGCCTCCTGAGTGCTGGGATTAAAGGTGAGCACCACCACTGCCCAGCATAGAAATGTATCTTATAGTGATTTTTTGCCTTGCAACTTTGCTATACTCAGCAAATAGTTTTAGTAGGTTTTGGTAGATTCTGCTGGGTTTTCTGTATAGATAAACATTATTATTTTCTTCCCACTCACCCCCTTTTGATACATAGACCAGGCCAGCCTGGAACTTACTGTGTAGCCCAGGCTGGCCTTCCAGTTCTCTTGTCTCAGCCTCCAGAGTGCTGGATTTTTTATAGTCATGAGCCACCACTCTTGGCTGAAGCATCCTTTGTCAGATCTTTTCCTTTAATGCAGTGATACGACTGTGGCTCCCTAGTCCCAAGGGCCATTGTTTTACAACCTCAACCAAAGGACAACCATTCAAGTGTAGGTGTAATCATTAATAGCTGGGATGCTGACCCTTAGAGTTTGGAAGGTTACCAGACACTATCACCTACAAGGTATTCCCTCTAAGACAGCAAAATGTTTTTGTCTTTTGGTTCTCAAAGAACAAAATGTCTGCTCCATTCCTGCAAACTACCTCTCACCAGAGGCTTCTGGATCAGAGCCCCACGGAGCCTCTCTCAGTGTCTCTCTCCTTGTTCTCATCTGAACTATTAGAAGAGCCTGGTATGGCTCATGGTGGAGTACAGGATCTCTTGTAGGGCGGGATGTCTCTTATAACAAAAGAACAAAAGTGGATGAATGGATTCTCATTTGCAAAGGAACCTGGACTGTCTTGCTATTGGGTAACCTGCCACTGAGAAGAGTGTCTAATTTTTGCTGAACCAAGCACATAGTGTTTCTGTGATCCAAGGCTCCCCTGTTGTTTGTTTCTCCAAGGGCAATATCCCCCCCCCACCTCACTTGATCCATCATGCCTTGCTGGTGGCAAGATTCTTTTTCTGGGACCCAAGGACATAGCTTGGGAGCCGAGAGAGAAACAATGGCTCCTTTAACTGATAGATTTGGTCTGCCTTCTCTCACAGAGTCGTAATGATGTTATCCGAGAACGCTTTGGAATGGATCCCAAGCCAGAGATGCTTTTGGGCCTTGCTGCCCTCCACATCTATATCACTGTGTCAGCCACTCGGCCTAGTCAGAAGATCACACTGAAGAATGTAGAGTGAGTTGTGAAAGGGCCCTTCTGGAGGGGACAAATAGCTGTCTATAAGAAAGTGCAATTGTGGAGCCGCGCTCTGCTTTTCAAGGGAATAGCCATTCTATGGGGGTGAGAATTGGAATTCCTGATGCCTCCCCCACCATGCTTTAGAGCTATGCTTTCTACTGGATATCCATGGCCACAGTTTGCCTGTCTTTGTCCTTCTGTTTCTTTTTCCTAGTCTCTGCCTCTCAGAGTTACTCAGATCCCTTCTTACTGCCTCGCTTCCTTGACTCCACTTTGTCTATTTCACTAATATCTTGCTTTTCTTCTGTTTTTAGGAAGGAGTGGGGCCTGGAACCCTTTCTTCCCCCCACCCTCCTGCAGGGCATCAAAGAGAAGAACCTTCGGAAATCTCTCTCTCAACAACTGAAGGCCCACCAAATGCATCCTTCTAGCAGCACCAAGGTAACCACAGGCGCTTTAGAGGGGTCCTGGGTGGTGCTATGGGGATTTCTACCAATCTTTCTGACTCAGGTACACACCCTCCCACTCTCTTGGGTGCACATTCCATCATTCTTTCTGACTCAGGAACATACCTAGCTTGGCCAGTTATGGGAAGGAGTTTGCTCCAAACCCAAACATTGCCCCAAAAAGCAACACATCACACTAAGCCACTCCAACAAAGGAGCAATAAGGAAGATCATTCTTGAGGTCTATCTCCAATTAGTTCTGATGGAGCACCTGCCCTGTGGAAGGCATTGGCTCCTAAGAGAGACATGTATTTTCACGAGAGTGACTGCTGTCCTTCACTAGCTCTCCAATCCATCAGTCCTAAAATAGGGAATCCTAGGAGAAGAAAGCCCAACCCAGAACTGGGACCACTACTGAGCTGTCTTCTGAATTCTAGGAGACACCAGTCTTTACCCCTGAGATGCTTTTATCCCCACCTCCCGCTGGCCCTGCTGGGCCTTCTTAGACTGCTAAGACTTCATCTGCTCAGGCTTCATGCCCAAGAGGCTAGAGGATGGTGACCAATACTAGAATCAGCATGCAGGAGACACAATCAACCCCATAGATGCCACCCATTCCAGATTTCTTGAATTACCAACTAGCTTCCCTTTTAAGATGCAAATTTCCCCAGAGAGCTAAGCCATCCCCACCTTACTCCACACCTTACTGTGCATGTTGAATCAGATTGTTGTTTTGTTTTTTCCCCCACTTGGCTGAGAGCACCCATGCTCACCACCATCTCCAAGGCAGTTTTTTTTTTTTCTATGCACCCCAGTGCTCTGATGAAGAAAGCCTGGCTTTATCCCTTGAGTCAAGCATAGTCAAGTAGGGAAATAAAACTGTAATTCTCAACACAAAGCATCAGGCACTGGGACTCGGTGAGTGTTTGGGAGAGACAGATGCCAAGCTCAGGCTAGGAGATGAGGAACTGGCATATTTAGTGCCAGAGCTGAGACTTGAAAGATAGACAGACAGGAACTTAGAAGATGAATTGCTAGAAGCAGTATTAAGGGAAACACTTCCCTCCATCCAGAAATCCATCTCTACAGAAGCCAGCCTTGGGAGTCATGGCAGTAGGAGAAAGAACATAAGTAGTTATGTTTATGCAAAGCTACAGAATATAAGAGACATGAAGGCTGGTACAAGTAGAGGCAGGATGGAGACTAAGGAGGTTGTCAGGAGCCAGTTCTTGGAATGGCTTTCCATGCCACAGAGAGAGGCTGCACACAATCAATCCTATAGGCAGCAATGAGCCGCAGAGGAGTAGAAGCAGGAAACCGGTATGATTAAATTTACTGTATTTTAGGATGTTCCTGCTAACACTAGGTGGAGGTAAGTGAGGAAAAGAAGCTGAGGACCCACATTGCTAACATAGGAAGGTGTCAAAGCAAAATAAATGGGTAGATCCATTCACAAGGAAGTCGGAGATAAAAGAAATATGATTTGTGGCTGATGGCTCCCAGATGAGAGGGTGAAGGGAAGAGTCCTGTGTCCCTCGTGGGTCTCTAACTCAGTTGCCCAAGAAATGCTGACAGAGACCTGGAAGCTTCTGGTATGAAGAATAGGCTTGGGACTTGGGGTGCTCAATATGGAAGCACCAAGTGGAACCCCATGACTGCATGTGGCAGTGGCACTCTAAGGATCTGAAGGATCTTAGGAGAGATACATAGATTAGGTGGATGGCAGAGTTGAGGGAAAGTGCTTGAATTAATGCAAGAACAAACAGATTTGATTGACACTTTAGGTATAGGAATCAAGAGGTCTGTGGAGTGCTTAGAAAGGTAGGTGGAATGCTGAAGGTGAGAACCATCCAAACTGGGACTTCCAGATTTACCCAAGGCCCTTCTTATTTTCATGGAATAGGCTGATGAGTAGCTCCTGCCATAAGAGGTTGAGACTCCACATGGAGGATGTGGGCTTGTTTTTCTCTGTTCCTCTGAATCTTTATTTCAAGGTGGATTGTTTCCACAGGGCTCCGCAATTCAAGCAAAGCTCCAGTACCTTCGAATTCTGAATGAACTTCCGACCTTCACTGGTGTTTTATTCAACACTGTAGGCCTGGTCAGTGGGACTATGGGATTTGGGGAGGGGCAAAGTGTGGAAGTATGGGGGGAGAAATCCAGTATTTCTTGGAGGGACAAAATCGTTTAGCAATGCATCCACTACATCCATGGATTCAACCAACAATAGTCTCAGAAAAAAAATGTGTTGGCACTGGGCATGTATAGACATTTTTCTTGTCATTATTCTCTAGACATGACAGCATAACAACTTTTAAGCAATATCTGCACTGCATTAGGTATTATAAGTAATGTTGAGATGATTTAAAGTATACATTATGGTCAGATGTGATAGTGCATGCTTGTAATCCCAGCACTCTAGAGGCTGAAGAACAAGGATCATGAGTTCAAGATTGAGGCCATCCTTGCATGTGTAAGATTCTTTCTCAAAAGCACACAAGAATATACATGCAGATTACATGCAAATTCTATGCCATTTTTAATAGGAACTAAGCACCTGTAGATTTTATATGCAACAGAATCCTGAAAACAATCCCTTATAGATTATGAGGGCCAACTACATCTGCTTCCAATGCCCCTTACCAATCCTTTTGTGCCCCCTTCCTATATTCCAAGGCTTGTCAACCCTTGTCTGTAAAAGGCCAGATAGAAAATATGTTTGCCTTTTGTTGGTGGATCAAATGGATCTCTGTAGCAGCCAGTCATCCCTGCTGTCTTAACATGAAAACAACCACAATGTATTAACAAATGGGTGTTGCGCTGTGCCAATAACTATTTGGAGACACAGAAATTTGAATTTCATAGCATTTTCATGTGTCAAAAATATGGTTCTCTCGACTTATTTCCAACCTTTCAAAAATGTTGTAAAACTTGATTTTTAGCCATTGAGGCATATGAAACAGGTGATAGGCCATATTTGGCCCATGGGCCATAGTTTGCCAACCCCTACTCATTTGTTTGCCTCTATATAAACATACTCCCATAGTCCCATAGCCCAGGTTTCCTGAGTCTCCAAACTGCCCCCTACCTACCTACCAAGAACTGCACAGCGATGCTCTGGGGCTGGGCTCAGCTGGCACCATCCCTAAGACTGCTCCAGTCTAGTTGCCTCTGGTAAAAAGGAAATTCAAATCATCTCACTGATTGGCTCCAGGTGCTTGTCATGCTCTGTGGAACACGCTGTTGTGCTAGCATGGCACACTGGAGAAAAACTGCTTATCAAAGTGTCTGTAGGCAGACAAAAGAGGTTCCGGGGTGATGTTAATAGCAGGGAGTGGGCCAGCAGAAGGCTCAGGTTTGATGGCTTCAAGGAGTTTGTCAGCCCCATTTAAGGGAATCCCAGTCTGTCAGACCTAGGAGCAGCCATTTGTATGCTGGGATTTGTAGAACACTGAAAGCCCCCTGTCTCCTCCCTTCACCCACACAAACCCTCAAACCTCTCTTCCACCAGCCTGACATTGCTCAAATGCCTATTGGTCATTCTTCTGAGTCAAGGCTGCTGGAGTACCTATTAAAGGGAAAATCAAGGGAACCCTTCATTAAGCACCTAAACAACCATGAATGCCTTAGGCAAAGTTGGTTTTTCGATTTGTCTTTGGCACTGGGTGAGAAGTGTAAGTTGGTGGAGGGTGGGTAAAAGCCAGACACAGTGCTGCCCAGTCAGGCAAAAGCACTGGGTAGCTTTGGATGGCTCTCAGCAACAGTGAAAAATACCTCAGGGCTTGATAAGGAAAGTTCTCCAAAGTCACTAGAAAGAACATATTTCACCTACCTCACAATTTCGTTAGAGCCAACCCTGATGCTGCCCATTTAACTTGCTGCTGTAGATAAAGTGTGATTTAGGCTGAGGATCTAGGATCCTGAACCAGGGAGATTCCAAACCATTTTCTCCTCAAGGTTGCCCTTTTAACCCTGGCACTGAGCCTCAGGTATTTCTCCTCCCTTCCCCCCACTCCTCACACACCCCTTCAGAACCAACATAATACATATTTTCTCTTCCTCACTGCCTCTTCTCCTTGGATATTCTCTCCACTTCTGTCTGTGAATGTTGTCTGCCCGGCACACTTGGCACTAGGATGAGAAGCAGTCAGCCACCACTCTCCTGGTGGGACCCCGTCATGGTATCAGCCATGTTATTGACCTCAAAACCAACCTCACCACTGTGCTGTCTGAGTTCAGCAAGATCAGCAAGATCCAGCTGTTCCGGGAGAACCAGGGCGTGGCCCGAGTAGAGACCAGTATCATGGATGCCAAGGTGAGCCCTGCTTTGAGATGCTGCTTCTTTCCAGGAACAGGCCTGAGGAAGAAGGAAAGAATGTTGGGGTATGTGAAGTGAGGCTCAGAGATTTTAAAGTGGCTTCTCCATAGAATCCTTTGTCTATCTTTTAGGACTTAGGCCATCTAAGATGACTAATCAGCATGCCTTAGTTACTGCTCTATTGCTGTCATTAGGGTAGCATGACCAAGCCAGGCAGTGGTGGTGGTGTCACACTCTTTTAATTCCAGCACTCAGGCAGATCTCTGTGAGTTCGAGGCCAGCCTGATCTACAGAGCGAGTTCCAGAGCAGGCTCCACAGCTACACAGAGAAACCCTATCTCAAAACATTAAAGAAAAAAAAAGATAACATGACCAAGAAAACTTATAAAAAAAAAAAACTCATTTACTTGCCACTTAAAGTTCCAGAGGGTTAGAGTCCATGATCATGGAACATGGCGGCAGTCATGGCAGTGACCCAGTAGATGAGTGCTCACATCTCGAGTCACAGGTACAAGGCAGAAAGAGATAACTGGGAGCGTTGTGGACTTTTGAAACTTCAGAATCCACCCTTGGTGATACACCTCCTCCTAGAAGGCCATACCTTCAAATCCTTTCCAAACAGCACTACCAATTGGAGATGCCCAAGTATTCAAACATGAACCTATTGGGACCATTCTCATTCTAACTACCACATAGTACCATGTAGGGCTAGAAAGTGTTGGGTCAGCCTGAATCAGTCTCCACAGAGAATTGGAGCACGAGGAGCTACCCAAACCATCATTTCACCATTATGCTTGTCATAGCACAGATATTTGCATTTATGGATATCATGGCGGCTTATAATCCCAGTATTCAGAAAACTGAGGCAGGAGCATCACTGCCTACACAGTGATTACAAGTCCAGCTTAGGCTACATAGGTAGCTCCTGTCTCAAATGTTAAAAGAAAAAGGAAGAAAATAAAATTCATATAGATGGGTACAGTGTTGCATAGCTGTCGGTATTCATGGCTACTTGGTAGGCCTAGAGGAAGATTAAATTTCACTGCACACTTTGTATATGTAGGGAGTCCTTGTCTCAAAATGTCTGTGTGTGTTCTCAGTGTGTACTGGTGTATGTGCACATGCTAGTGGAGTCCAGATGTGTCTTCCCTAGTTGCTCTCCACCTTACCTTTGAGACAGGACCAAGACCAATTTGGCTAGGCTGGCTGGCCAGCAAGGCCCAGAGATCTTCCTGTCTTCACCTTTCTCAGCCCTTGGATTACAGGTGCATTGCTACCACACCCTGTTTGCTTATATGGATGTTAGGGGATGGTACTTAGGTCCTCATGCTTGCACTTTGCTAACTGAACCATCTTCCCAGCCCTTGGGGGAAAAAGTGCTTATGGCTTGTGCCAGTGATAGAGCACTTGACTAGCATAGACCCTAGTTTCTGCCTCTAGCACTGCAAAATGTAAAAAGAAAGAAAATCACACTCACTTGGAACTTCAAGCTAAACAGAGAGAATCTGGCCACCATAGGTCCCGCCTGTCTGCTCAGAGATTAAAGAAATGAATGCCTTCACCCATCTCTGCCCATTCCACATGTATATTGGTTGGGGAACACCCACTCTGAGCTAAGTAAGAGGTGTGTCTGTGCATGGACCCAGTGGTTCTGGGGAGTGGAGGGACAATCAGATCCAACGTCCCATCTCAGCTCCCAGAGTCCAGCTCTCCTAGAACATCAGAACCCTCCCCATAGATCAACACCTTCAGACTGGCAAGCAGCTGTCAAAGAAGTCTGGCAGCAAAGGTCAGCCACCCCCTCCACAGTTCTCCTGTTTGAATACAGTGACCAGTGTGGGCAGGGGGCAGGCCTTCCTGCCAGCTGGCAGAGACTCTTGGAAGGAGGTACAGCTTTTCTCTCTTAAAGGCTTTCCCGGGAGGAAGCTAGTTAACAGATTAAGCGAATGAAGTGTTTTGCTGTTTCTAAAAGAACCAAGTATTTAGTTTTGTGTTTGTAAAACCCAGGAAGCTTTAATATGTTAATTTTTCCACCTGTGATACACAGGATTACCATTGGTTTGGGAACCTGACTGACGCTGATGTTTAATCTGGTTGTGGCCACTTTCCCAACTATTTGATTGCTACTCTCCTCAGATGTTGTTGGGTAAAAAGCCAAGTGAACTGGTAAGGAAAGGCAAAGAAAGACAAGATGTGCAGGGAAGTGTGGCTCACAGAGATACAGAAAGGGTTTAAAACAAAGAAACGGCTTTCAGATTGTTTTTCAGCCTGCAATATTTCATTAGTGAGTTTTCCACATCAGTAGCCCAATAGAAATTCCATGAGAAGTTTGAAAAAATGAAGGCACCTGGGCCCTACTCTGAAAACTGACATTCCCCCCACCCCTTTTGGAGACAGGGTTTCTTTGTGTAACCCTGGCTGTCCTGGAACACACTCTGTAGAACAGGCTAGCCTCGAACTCACAGAGAGATCAGCCTACCTCTTGCCTTTCAAATGCTGAGATTAAAGGTGTGCACCACTGCCCAGCAAGAACTGATGATTTCAATGGTTAGAAGTGCTACTTGGGCATCAGGATTGATTTAATTTTTTATTTACTCCAAATGATTTTGTAACACAATGAATTAGAGTAAGCGTGGGTTGAAGACCTACCTATATGACCAGAGGAAAGAGGCAGAGCTGTGGTCAGTGTGTGTCTCCTGACTGAGGAACACCCTGCTTGTTTCTGGAGGTGATCCACCCACAGTGGTGAGCATGAATGAAGATTTCTTATCACGGTGGCTAGAATCACGCACATACATTGACACAGCATCAGAACACCTGCATAACTCTGGAATCAGATGGCATTCACCCTTTCAGGGAACACACACACACACACATACACACACACATACACACACACACACACACACACACACACAAACTAAAATACATCTCTTTCTTAAAAAAAAGGCAGTATGAAGTGAATAGATAAATGTGGTATGGAATATGGAATGAAAAGAACTTGAAGGAGTTAACTACAACTAGCTTCCTCAAGAGGGTGTTTTGAGCTGGATCTTGAAGTGATAGGGATGAATTAGCAGAGAGGAGTGGGATGTGTTCAAAGGCAAGGAGCAAGCACTGAAATAAGCAAGCCATATGTGTAGGTCGATAAGCATAGTCTCTTGGCTGGAGAGGAAAATAAGGAGAGAAGAGATTGGAGAGATTAGGGGCAGCCAGAACAAGTCAGTTAAAAGCCTCCCAAGCCAGTTTGAGGAATTTAGATTCAATGTGGTTGATTAGTAGGAATGCACTGTAGGTCCTTGAGCAGAGGAATAACAGAATGAGAGCTGATTTGAACCAGCAGGAAAGAAGGGCAGAAGCAAGACAACTGTGAAGCCAAGGAGCAGATGTGAAGCATGTGATTTGTTAAGACGGGCATGGTTGTTGTACACAATGCCTGTGTTTTCTTATTCTTACCCCTATTGCCTACTGCACATATCCAGTGTGCACTAAAGAACAGTGCTAGGTGTAAAGAACTCTAGCAGATTGTGAGTAGGTGGTGAGATGACACTACCTTTGGAGATAAATACATTGTATTTGGTGTGTAGATGAGGCTTTAAAAGTTGCAGTGTAGGAGTAAGCTGTGATCAATAGGCAGGTAGATGATATGAGTGCTCAATGGTGTCACCAAATGATAAATGGTTCAAGCATTTTTAAGAACAACTGACAAAATGCAAAAGGAAACCTTGGGAGAATTATCTACTTGGTGTCATTATTGTTATAGGTGGTAATAGGATTTACCATGTACAATAGATAGAATAATCCCTTCCTAAATAGGCATGTACCATAATCCTCAGAACCTGTGAATATGCTATGACAGAGAGGAATAAAAAGTGCAGATGCAATTAAGATTGCTAATCAACTGACCTTAAATTGGGGAGATTAGCATGAATTATTCAAGTGCGACTAATGTAGTCAATAGTCAGGCTATGTGGTACAGAGATTCTGGAGGTGTGCAGTTAGAGAGCTGTGATGTGAAGACTCTACTCACCCTTGCCAGCCTTCATTAGGGAAGAGGAGCAAGGACCAAGGAGTGTGGTGACTTCCAGGATCAGGGAAGGCAAGAAAATAGATTCAACTCTAGACCACCAAAATTGACATAGTCTTGCACTCAATATTTAACCCAGTAAACCTCATATCAGAACTCTTACCTCCAACACGATAAAGGAACAAATGAATATGTATCATTTTAAGCTACTAAATGGAGTCATGTGTTATAAAAAAACAGTAAGAAATTAATACCATAAGGTTTTTCAAATAACAAGTACTCATACATTACAGTTTTGTTTTTCCTTCCTTTATTTTACTTTTGAGACAGGGTCTCAGGTATCTCAGGCTGGCTTTAAACTTTCTTTAAAGCTAAAATAATAAGATGACCATGAACTCATGATTTTCTGCCTCTACCTCCCAAGCACTGTGATTAAAGGTGTGTGCTGCCATGCACAATTTATGTGCCACCACACGTAATTGTTTTTTGTTTTGTTTTGTTTTTATTGTTTACTCTTTGGAGGCCAACCACCCAGCTCCCAAATAAATACATGGGGATTTATTCTTACTTATGAATGCCCAGCTTTAGCTTGGCATGTTTCTAACCAGCTTTTCTAACTTAAATTATTCTGTTTATCTTTAACTATGTTTTGCCTTTGGGCCTTTTACCTGTCTTTAATCTATATATTTTTGTTTCCTTCTTACTTTGTGGCTGGCTGTTTGGCTAGGTGGCTGGCCCCTGGCATCCTCCTTTTCCCTTTCTTCTCTCCTAGATTTCTCCTTCTATTTATCCTCTCTGCATGCCAGCCCCTCTTTATTTCTCTCTCCTGCCTAGCTATTGGCCATTCAGCTCTTTATTAAACCAATTAGGTCTTTTAGACAGGCAAAGTGACACAGTTTTACTGAGTTAAACAAATGCAACATAAAACAGCACAACACGTATTCGCATTGTAAACAAAAGCAGCAGAAAG